AGGAACTTATTAATTTTGCATTGATTTTCTCTTCTCTTCTTTTTCCGGTTTAACAGTGTTTGTACATTTTCCGGTACCCTTTACAGGTCCCCAACCTTTTTCAGTTGGCTTGATCTATGGACATTCAGTAGGACTCCTTGGACAAGGGATCAGTCCGTCGCAAGGCACATTGATTTTAAGAATTATATAATAAACTAAAATCTTGTCTGCAGGGACATTGCAGTGAAAATGGGGAAGGAATTTGCCCTTTCCCCCAACTGATGTCTGTGAACCGCCATTAGAGTTTGGTTAGTAGGAACGCTCTGGCCTGGGAGCTGCCTTCAGTATTCCGCAACCGCAATTGTCCCCATTGCATAAACCATAAATGAATGACATATCAGCATATTTCTCATTTGTGTACTTTAAACTGAATTGCTTTGAATTTGCACAGTGCAATAATGTTTTGCAGCAACGTACTCTGGTGTTGGAGGCAGAAAACATGAGGAATACAAACACACAGAGCAACTACTGTAATGTACTGGTCAGTGAAGAAGAATGTGTATACACTGTCATGGCTGCTCAATGTATCACATTGCAGTGCAGATACGTGCTGTAGTGAGTTTTGGCAGACAGTCATGTTAGGATCCAATCATCCACGTCATTGTCCGTACACCTGCTAACCTCTTAACTTGCAGAATGCTACAATTGAAGGACAGTATCAATAATCAGTTTTCACCCTCAGTGGACTAGTGGTTAGCGTGATCGCCACTGGACCCAAGGTTCACGGGTTCAAACTTGGCCGAGGATGATGGATTTTTAAGGGTGATAACACAACTTCCTTTGGAGGGGAAGTAAAGCTGGCGGTCCCATGTCATAGATTTATGGCATGTAAAAGAACCTTACGAGCATGAACAAGATGTTTTGTAAGCAAAATTCAGTGGCCGTTTCTCACCCAAGTCTCCCCTGATTCACTACTAGATGGCTCTAGCAGACAAGGCTCGACTCGGGCTGTTGCTCCATAGTCAACAACAATAATCAGTTCCTTGCATGTACAGTAATGAGCAGCTTCCATTTTTATGGCCCTTAACGCACTTTAAACACCCATAACTCTAACCATTCTGAATGGGACACGTGTCAATATAGCATATTTTATTAAAAATTGGTTGATTTATCATTTGCCTTCAGTTTATGCACATTCTCCTGGGAAATTCTGTATGTGTGTGTTTACTTTTTAAGAATGTGAAATTGTCCCTTCATGTTATTTTCATTGTGACGGAAGGAATGTTTTAGTTTCTTCTTATTTCCCATTCCAGGTTATGACCAGATTCACTTAAGCTTCCACTTAACATCAATATATGACCACAGTATCTTTGAAGCATTCAGTAAAGTGGTGCAGAAGTTGATTCCGCAGTTACCTACGCTAGAGAATCTGCTCAATATTTTGATATCGGTAAGAGGATTTGACTAGTGACATGTAATTCAGACTAAATTGTGGTTACCAAAAGTGAGAGCGTGGGATTATCACAGTGTAGTGATTAGTACTCTGTTTCGCGCCTGGCTGGCTGTTTGGCTTGAGGTTTTCTGTTATTGCAGGCAAGTGTTCCTTCAGTTAAGCGCTATATAATACAGGACAGTCCCTTGAGATTGTATATCTTCTCACCATCCTTATCATTGATGAGCATTCTCACATCTTATTTTTAGGTGTTCTTCGTGCTCTGGTATGAGGAAAGAATTTTTCCACATGTGACAAATTTTTAAGCTATTTAACAAGAAATGATATTACACAAACATTAAATTACGCTTGTTTTACAGTGTTTCCGCATATTTGCCATTATCAGATTTATGTAGAGCTGTAGTGAACATCACACATAAATTTTGATTTCAATGTTTATGTTGCAATCCAGAGTTCAGTAGTGAATATTAATATAAAATTTATCAGATACTAAAATGTGATGAGATTTTATAAACTTGCGCACAGTGCATTGAGGTATTCATTAAGAGGAAAATAGGAATTTCAATGGTGAAATTCCCAGTTGTATAAAAAAGTGGTATTCAGACAGATGCTCTTGTTATAAGATGTTCGTGGTCATAAATCCATTGAATTACTTCACATATTCTGTTCTAAAGGGTTTTCACGACGGTAGATTACACTTAAAATTATTCATTGTCAGGACTTGGATGCCAACATTTTTTCGGTTTGGATTTGGTATCAGTTATTGCGGTTTCATTACTAGTCGTTTTTGGAGCTTTATGTGCAGTCTTATAATTTTATTTTACCATATATGTATTATAATCTGCTGACAAAACCTGTACTCAGGCGGATATGTTGATAGTTGAATGACAGAGACTAATTCTATCTAAGGGACCCAGCAGAGTAGGTACCTCTCTCCTGAAGACGGAGACAGAACCAGCCTCCGAAATGTCGTGTGTTTTAAAGAATAGACGATGGATTAGTCCTGACAATGAATGATGTTAAGTACATTACATATCATATTGAAGCTAATTTCCTTTGGGTCTAGCCAAATGTATCCCAGCCGTATTTTATTTTATCTAGTTCTTCACTTACTCTCTTTTCCCAGCTTCCAAATCTTCAGTTGTTTATTTTCTGTGTGTAACCAAACCCATACTAGTTCTTCCTTGTCCATCTGTAATATTCTTTGCCAACATTTGACAATCATACACAATACCTTACCCTTCCTACTGTCTATTCCCCACTCGAGTTCAGCAACCCCATTAGCTGCATATCTGGGTATCTCCAGAACGTTTTTACAAAATCTCACATGAATTGTATCTGTCTGTTTCCACCCCTCTTCTAATCCCCATATCTGTGCTCCATACATCAATCTCAACCCACATGCACAATCTCATGCAAATTCTCTGAAAGCTTCACTCTTAAATAAATTGAAGATATATTTACACCAAATGTATTTGGGTAAAGATTCTTGTCTGATCAGCCTATCCGTTAAATGTAGCTTGATTCATGTGACAGCATTTTTTAAACTGCTCTGAATGCCAAGGTAGTTGTGAATGACAGACTTAGACTCTTATGGCTTATTTGAAGTTAAAAACCTACCATAACCCCTAGGAACTGAAATGCCTGTGACAAGACAGACAGTTTCTGTACTAATATTTGAACCGAGGAGCTCTTAAATATAAGCACGACTGGTAACCACTATACTTCATCTTTAGCGTAGTCCACATTTACTAAGAGTTGACATTTTAAAATTATTGTGTTTAAGTTGCAGCCAATTTATTTTATTTCAGAATTCAGCTATAGAGAAGGCGTTTTTGTTCGATGTAGTGTCAAAAATCTACATCGCAACGGACTCGTCGCCTGTTGACATGCAGAGTTACGAGCTGTGTTGTGACATGATTGATGTAGTAATAGATGTATCTTGTATATATGGGTAAGTGCGTCTTTATTCTCTGACCTGATGCCACAGTGCTGATGTTGATTGTGTTAGATTTAGCAGATACAGTATGAAGTATGCCTTAATGTGGATGTAATTGTACAAGAAATCTTCAACGCTGGTAGCACTGACTATTTGTTGAGCTTTAGTGTTACCTGCCATTGGACTTGATTCTTAGCTACTGCCACGCACCTCTGGTTCTCTGTGTAAGTTTTCCATTCAGTATGCTTGTCAGTGATCCAATTAAATTTTTATCTAGAGGCGCATTGAGCCAGCTGTCCAGCTAAGCTAACATCTTTCATTTTTCTAACAGCATTGGGCAACTGTGTGATTATGTTTCTTGTTACGTAGTATCCTGTATTCACTTCAGCTCTTCATAGATCTCAGCATTTACCGGCATTTGTGATTACGTTCTTTCGACAAAGTAAGAAGCCACATTTCACACTCCTAGAAAGCAGCTGGCGTAATTATTGCCAACATGTATGTTCTGATTTTTATCATTTTGAAAACTGGATGGGATGGTAACTATTTTTAACTTGTTTTTGAATTGAATTCTTTCCTTAATTTTGTAAATGCTTTAAATTAGTCTAAGAAATAAAAATAAAACATATTTCAGTTTATATTCACATAATTTTGACTTTCTTATTTCATTTACTTTTTTTTTCTCCCTCCCCTTGCACTTGCCTATCTTTTTAAATTTGTTTACGGGTTGGTTTATGCTGATTTGCGTACCGTCGTAATTCCAGTGTACTGAAATGCATTACAACTGCTCTAAATTTCCTATCTGCTGTCATTTTGAGCTGTACAGTGTACAAAATCTGAAAGGTAGAAATATATTTCAATATGTGCGAGTAAATGGATGTTGAATACATGGTTTCTGACGTGTGCAATTAAAACTTTTGCCCACTGTGAATTCTTGATATTGTATATGCGAAAAGGAATTACTTTACACCAGCAGAATGTGTAGTCCTGTAGACATTAATTGAGTTATCAGTTATAGATCATTTCCAACATCGTTGCTTTCTGGCATGACTACAAAACAAAATGTTCTGGCAGTGTTTATAAGTTATGATATTTGGAGCAGGATGGTGCGTACCTTTCATGTGCCTGTTTTTAGTTGAATATACAGTGAAACCTCTATCCATCGTTCCCGGAACTATCGTTTTCCCGGATGCATCGTCCGTTTTGTTCGGTCCCGAATACATCCCATATAAAATAATGTTACATTTTCCCGCTTCTATCGTTCCTCGAACTATCGTTTTATCGCATCGATCCTTAAAAAATCTTAGTCCCAGCACACAATTTTCCCGCAATGATCGTTTCTGAGAAATTAAAATGCTGGGTTTTGAGATAAATTAATAC